TACCAATTACTATTCTTGTGGAAACTGGCATCCCAAGATATCTTTTATTTTAGACAGCATTAATACAATGAAGTAAAATACCAAACATTCTCTGAAGCAATATTCTACTGTGGTTTGAAAATGTAAGCTATTTGGGAGATCTTTCATGAGATTTTAATTGTAACTTATAGATCATGAAAATCAAAAGTTTTATTTAAAATTTTTCTTCATATTGATGAGATAGAAACCATTTTATTCTCTGAAGAAAATATATTACTTTTCCATTAAGCAGAGTATTCCTCATTATTCTATATCAAGGCTCAAAAAAGTGTTTATGATCCGGAGCACATTGCTGTTTTCTAAGACTTCTTTTAATATAAATGTTCAAAAACTGAAAAACATTTATTCAAACATTATCATTTTCATCATAACATTTGCATTATTTATATTTATTTTTTGAGTTTCATCGAACGGTTTTGTTCCTTAATCTGGAAAATTTGTTTAAAAATTAAATAGATAAATAAAATATGTGGAGGCTAATGCAAATGACTAGATTTTCAGAAGGTAACATGAAAAAGTAGACAGACAAATTTTATTTTTTTTAATTAATAGTCAGAAGGAAACAAAAGAGCAAATGTTAAAAACTTTTCTTTTTAGACACTGGATACCTATTTTGAAGTCTTAGAAAAAGAACCATACCAAAGAAGACATCAGTTACATACCTCTTTGTTCAAAAGTTATCATTTCCTGGCAAAAGATAACCCATTGCCCTATCAGTGAACCAATAGACAGAAGAACACAGAAGATATTGCAATCATAAAAGAAGAACATTTTAAAAATTATTGTTTGTGCCCCTCTTGTGCCATTCATAATCAAATTTCTTCATTACATGTAGTATATTGAATGAAATATTATTATTAGGGAGAACATCAATTCGGAACATCACAGCTTTGACATATCTTCCTTGTTAAAGGCTAATGGATGCTTCAAAGAGCAAACCTCCTTCAGAATCTCACCATTAACACTGTGGTTGCCTCTTCCTTTATTGTTCTATTGCTCTCAATGACACCTTGTTCTCTGTCTCCTTGTTTGTCCTTTGAGGAGTGAGTGCCCTTCCTGTGCTTGAAGATCAAATGTTTGTTTGACTGGGGGCTCTTGTCTTTTTCTTTGGTTGCAGGATTCTCCTCTGGGAAATCTAAGTCAACGTTTATGCTGATTACTCCAGATCTAGCACAAACTTCTTGCTGAGTTTAGGACTCAGAAAGCCCAATTGCCCGAGGATATGTGTGTATTCCTACCCTGTTCCAAATTTAATATGTTCAAAGGTGAATTTGAAATCTTTTTATCAGCTCCAACTTTTCCTATACTTTTTTCTTCATTTCAATAAATGAAACTTGATGAATTCTTAGGCTTTACCTGTTACTCTTTATTTTGTTATAAATAGCAATTCTAAAGCAAAAGAAATTTCTATAATTACAGTAGCCATATGTACATATATCTACATATATATTCATATTTATTATTATTAAGACTGTTTCGTAGTTATTCTATCAAGGTTAAAATGATACTATCTAATCTCACCAGAAGTCTTCATGACATTCTGTTTTTCTTCAGTCCAATAATGAGCATACTTGTCATGGAATGTATTCAGCTCTTTTTGAGGACAGTCAAATTTACAACCTTTCTGGTTTACTATTTCATGTTCCCTGTGGTTGGAATGGTGTAGCCTGAAATAAGAGCAAAGCTAGCAATGCCCCGAATGACTTAAGGAATAGAGTACACAACTTTCTAGATCTAGCCCATTTTCACAGGTTTAACACTACTTAAATTAAGGACTTCCTAATGTATATTAATTGAATTTTAGGTTTTATTAGATTTCCCATCAGATCATGTTGTAAGTAAGAAACTATAATTAGAATATGTATAAATGAGCTAAATGTTTTCCCCATTATAAACTTAAAAGACAAACATGGAGTATTACTTAGCATTGCTCCTAAGGGTTAATAGAAACTTGGAATTCCTCTCCACCATCATGGATTTATCCAAAATTCTGCTATAATAAGATAGATGTGGAGTTGGGGTGTAAAGAGAATTGCCAGTAAGCTGTTTGTGTATCAAAACTTGTATGGATACAGAGAAGATAAATAAAGAAAAAATAATGATCACATTCTTAGTCATCAATAGAAAGCAGATGATACACAAAGCATACGCAGATGCAGCTAAAGTTCAAAACAGAGTCTAAAATTAGGATTACTACTAACCGATTTGATGTATGACAGAAGCTGAACAAAAGCATCAATGCGATGACTACTGATCCTTAAAAAGATACAGTGATTTTCTAGACAAGAAAATAGATACCTGAAAATTTCATAATTTACCCAAATTTGACCAGGTCAACATTTAAACCTAATTCCATCTGTTTCTGCATAAATTACCTACTATTTCTATAATTAATAAGTAAGAAATAATTTTTATATGTTCAAAATTAGTGAATTGAATCATCTTTTTGGAGTCACAAAGAAATGCTTATAATGATGAAGTCATTTGTATTTGTGTTCAAAGAGTATCATAGAGTAGGGTGCTGGAAAAGAGGTAGGTAGGCATGCTTAGTACAAAGAATTGTGAGCCAGCCATCAAAATGGAAAGGGACCAGAGCATACAGAAAGTAGAAACTTGCTTGCTTTTGTTGCACGTTAAGTCAAGAGTGGGTCCAGTTTATAAAGAGAATGAATCTGAACTTAATTCAATGTCCTACAGGGAGCCGTGCCAGTGTTCTGAGAAGCATAGTTATTGACATGTAATTGTATTCTAGGATGATTAACCTGACATTAGAATATGAAATGAATAGATATGTGGGAGAGGAAATTGAAAGAGATCATTGTAAACAGTTATTGAAGTATGTGGATAGTGACCTGAGACAGATCAGTGGGAGCAACAATAGAGAGGAAAGAATGTACTTCTCTCTCGTAACCCTCCCCAAGCTTAAAAACTAATCATAGTTGAGCCACAAAAATAAACTGCAGCTTGATTTGTTGGAACAACCTTTTGTCCTAGCACTCAGGAAGGAGAATCAGAAGTTCAAAGTCATCTTCAGTTACAAAACAAATTTGACATTGGTATGAGCTGCATAAGACTATGTCTCACAGAATAAAACAGCAAGAACAAAATTGACTATGTTTTGAAATATGATTGTTCTGAAGCCTGCAGCTTTGGGAACACAATGTTTCCATTTAGATTCAAACACCTTTCTTTTTTTCTGTTTTCTTTTTCTCTCTTTTTTTTTTTTCCTTGAGGTAGGGTCTCACTCCAATCCAAATGACCTGAAGTTTATTCTGCATACTAGGCTGGTCAAACTCACAGTGAACCTTTTATCATAGCCTTCTGCATGCTAGTATTATAGGCATGACCCACCATAACCAGCCCAAACTACTTTTAATATACAACCTCCACCCGTTCTTTAAAAATATATAACTGGAATAATATCTTATGCATTCTAAGTGCTAACTCACTCCTTAAATTACATGGATCTTCTAGGGAACTTGTCCACCTACTCTGTCAAACATCCAGGCTTTTGGGTAAATCTTAGCTTTGTTAGAGTAACTTAAATTTTAAGTTCTTTGATTTATTATCTATTTTTACTATTTCTACACTCTAGATTTGATGAAAGATTTTAGATTTATGAAGATTTTCCTGTTTTGAGAAGTCTCTAACAGTAAGTATGTGCCTGACTTTTCTTGGCTCTTGCATAACATAGTGAAAAAGCTACTGGCGTGAAAGTCCTCTAGACAACAAACAGCCCTCTCTCCTCTTGACTGTAGGGGCTCTTTGATTCCTGTCTCTTTGTAGTTTCATAGAGCTGCTTTATACCCTCAGTGGGAGCTAGATTGTTTGGATATGTGGATGTGCCGAGGAGTTTGGCAGAAGACAGGCTCTTCTTCCAGTAGTATGTCCTCTGCCACAAACATGAGTACATATTTAAACACAAATTATACTCCAGAACCAAAAGGACAAAGAGTAAGCACCGGGTACGTTAGGGAATGAGGTTGTAAAATACAGCCACTTTATTTTAGCTAATGTTCTGTTGGAGATTCCTTATGACCTACCTTGGTATAAAGGTGTTAAAAACTACAAAGCAAAACTTTACTAGTGAAGGAAGGATGTAAGGTACAGAATCAGCAAGCAGTTGGATCTTACAAAGCAGGTGTTTCATTTATTATGTCTGAGGGCCATGGGTCATAAAAAAGGAGCATGTAGTGTATAGCTTAAGGTGAAGGAAATAACAGCTTCCTGTGGCATGATTTTAGTGTTCTGGAAACTATAAAGGGAAAAGCAACTGGTGCTATTCAAGAGGCAAAGCCGTCTACCTCCATCCGCAAATATTTAGCACATAAATAGGCACTAAGGGAAACAGGAGCTCCTGTCAGGTAAAGATGTGCTGAGGACTCTGAGACACACAGGCACTGAAACCATACAAGCACACGGTATGTTGTGTTTCGAACACACACTGAACACAAACAACATGCCACTTTTAAGTTATACCCAGAACAATAAATTTCTGAAAATGTTTTCACTAAATAGAAATATATTCATGAAAAGGCTGGAAGAAGGGCAGCCGACTGGAATCCTGACAGAGACCAGATCTTAGTTTCACTTCACTAGAATGGGACAGAGCTGACCAAGCAGGTCTCATGAAAACCACAGTTTAGGAATGAGCATCAGCAAGCATCCCCACAAGCCCTTCTTCCACCTCAAGAGGCCCCCAAAGCCCCTCTGCGAGCTCAGTAGTCACCCCCTAGACTTCTCTGGGCTAAAGATAGTTTTCCCTATCCTGCTGGTCCCTAACCACTTTTACCTTCCACCAATCAGCCCCCATACGAATCTTTCCTCCACCAATCAGCCCCAGATTAATCCCTCCTCTCTGGAATTCCCGTAAGTAACTCCATTTAAAAGGAGCTCGTGACCTTCTTTGAAGGTTGCCAAGTGCCACCCCAATGTTGAAATTAATAAAGCACTCTTGTTATATGTGGCTTTTGGTCTTCTTTGAAAGCTTTCATAGTAGCCTAACAATTGGTGTATTGGGAAGGCACCCACAGAACCTCTCCTAGCACGTTGCGTGTCTGATAACCCTGCTGGCTGGTAAGTAAAGTGAGCTTTCTTTGTCTTGGTCGGTTCTGTTCCTTGTTCTGTGGTCTATGTTTTTTTTTTTTTTTTTTTTTTTTTTTTGCTGCCTCTTGGAGGCTTGAGCTAACTGAATCTGGAGGCTGAGGTTTACCTGGCAGAAATGCTAGAGGCTATTCCACCATGTGGTTGTCAACAGATGTCTTAGACTCATTTTTTAGGGACAGCTGGGTCCCATTGGTCAAACTGGGACAGCGGGTCCCTTTGGTTGAATAAGGAACACAGGTTGTGCCTGTTGCAAAATGGAATTCCCCAAGGGGTTCTGGTTCCTGGTTTATTTTTCCTGTGTTTGTACCGGTTTATTTCTGTCAGTGTTTTTTATTTGTGTTGTGTTGTTTTGTTTTGTTTTGTTTTTCAGGATACTAACTGCCAGGTAGGCAATCTGTGCCTGCAAGTTGCCCATGTGAAAGGCTTCTGATCTCCCTGCTCCCTTCCTTCCTGAGCCAGGTTCTTCACTGTGTACCAAGGTCCTTGCTCCCAGTTACTGACCCGTAACCCTGTCCTGTTCTGACACTCCCTAAGAAAAATGATCCCTTTGTTGTTTTTTTTAATTAAAAAATGTGAGGATTTTGTTCATTTAGATTCACAGGTTATAAATTATTTGTCATCATTTAGAAAGATTGGTTACAAATTATCATTGGTTAGGATAAAAAAAGCTACTGTTAGTCTCAGATGTTTCTTGTTGGTACAGGTTTGTTTGTAAAGTTATTTCTGCTATGGTATATGTATGTTTCTCTTCTTATTTGAAGTGTTATAGTGAGTATTATAGGCATACAACATTCTAGACTACTAAAGGAAACCACAAGAAGGACTTTGATAAAGTCTCCATTTGTCTGGAAAAAAAAAGGCAGTAAAGTAAAATAATAAAGAGAAGAGAAGGTTGTCTGAAATAAGAATGTCTGGAAGAACCAGAGGAGGAGAGATAGGAACAGAGGAGTATAGTTGTAGGAGGCCAGAGGAGGTATGAGATTTGAGCATGTTATGCTGATTCTGGTTGGCTTTCTTCATTTAAAAAAAAATCAAAGCTGATTCACCACAAAATATATGTGTTGGGAATATGGTCATACTCTTATAGAAAAGAGGGGGACAGATCACTGCCTATTACACCACTGTACCTTGTCTTTCTTTCTCCAGGCAACTTAGAGGAGGAGTTCTTTTCTATCCCACCATCTTGCCCCCAGGTACCCCCAGGATGAGAGGTTCTGGAGGGCAGAAAGGGAGGGGTGGAGGAGTCCTCCTCCCCCTGATATGTGCATGCATTCTCAGAGAGAGGAGCTGCCAGCCAGGGCTGGCTCCATGGCTCTTTCATTGTGAATTGTGGACCAACCTGATACTGAGGACAAGAATCAGTTAGTCCATTGGCTTTTTGCCACTAGCACTCTTTGTAATTAGAAATTACGAATTCTAAGTTTTTTGAGAAGCCTACAAGGCTGGTTGACCTGTTGGATTCTGTCCTTTTCACACAGCAGACCACATGCAATGATTGTTTCCAATTGCTCCAGGTCCTCTTCACTTCTGAGGAGAGCGACCAGATCAGAACAGAGGCTTGGAAATTGGTTGCAGGCCCAGATGGAAGACCAGCCACCAGTGCGGACCTCATAAATGTTGGGTTTCCTGTGATGTGACCCAACTGAGATTTCAGCATGGATCAAGGTAGGGAGAAGCTGACACTCTACCACCAGACTCTGGTGGGGGATCTCTGGACTGCCTCGAGGCAGCCTACATATTTGTCTAAAGTTAGTCAGGTATGCCAGCAGCCTGAAGAAATACCAGGAGCATTCCTAGAAAGGCTGATAGAACCTTATAAGACCTATACACCCTTGGATCCCAAAGCATCAGAGAACTGGTGTGCAGTCAGCCTGGTTTTTGTCAACCAGTCGGCACCAGATATCTTCCATAAGTTGCAGAGACTAAAAGGTTATAAAGGTAAGAGGTTGGCTGAACTCATTGTAGGTGCTGAGAAAGTATTCAATAATAGAAAGACCCCAAAAGACAGACAGAGCAGGGACCGCACCCAAGTCCTTCTAGCTGGGTCAGGCAGCCCAGAAGTTAAAAGACAGGCATTGACCTTTGGAGACTCACCAGGTAAAAGGAAAGGCCTAAAGCAGGGACTGTACAATAAGTCTAGTCTACAAAAGGACCATTGTGCCTACTGTAGAAAGTTGGGTCACTGGAAAAATAAATGCCCTCAATGACAGCACTCAAAAGTAAAGGTACTAAATTGGAAGAATTAAGTGACTCATGGGGATTGGGCTCAGAGCCCTTCCCCGAGCTTGAGTAACCCTAAAGGTGAAGGGGAAACCCATAGATTTCCTGGTGGATACGGGAACACAACACTCCTTCCTCAAACAACCCCTAGGCAAAATGGCACCAAAAGAATCCTTGGCATTAGGGGCTACAGTGATGAACTCATAGGCTATTCCAAGATCAGTGGTCATATAAAAGAGCCGAGTAACCCATTCTTTTATGGTCTTCCCTGAGTGCCCATACCCACTGTTTGGAAGAGATCTATTAACTAAGATGGGGGCCTACATCCATTTTGACCAGACTGGAGTATCAGTTACTGGTCAAAAGGGAGAGGCTCTATATTTTCTCACTAGTCACTTGTGGAGGAATACAAATTGTTTGTGACCTCCTCCCCCCAAATCAAAGAGACAATAGAGACCTGTTCCAAAATATGATCCAAAAAATTTCCGAAGCATGGGCAGAGGCTGGCAAGAAATTTCCCAAGCTTGGCAAAGGCTGAGAGATCTGGGCTTCCAGCCCACTGTCCCCCTTCCCCTTCAAATACAGCTGAAAAGGAGCAAAGCCAATGTATGTCAAATGATACTCCAATGGCCAGAGAGGCCTAGGAGAGGATCACTCCCCATATTAAGTGCCTCAGAGACCTGGGTATTTTGGTCCCTTGCTAGTCAGTCTGGAACACACCCCTGTTGCCAGTTTAAAAGCTCAATTCCAATGACTATAGACCAGTGCAAGATTTCCGAGAGGTAAGTAAAAGGGTTGAGGACATTCATCCAACAGTTCCCCATCCCTACACTCTTCTACGTGTCTTGCCTCCAGAACAGGTCATCTACACTGTGTTGGACCTAAAGGATGTCTTTTTCAGTCAGCCATTGGCTTCAGCCAGTCTATGTTTGCTTTCAAATGGACATATCCAGAAAATGGATTCAGTGGATAGGTTACCTGGACATGATTACCCCAAGCATTCAAGAACTCTTAGCATCTATGATGAAGCACTCCACACAAGGAGTTGGAAAGTACCGACAAGTCTACCCCCAACATCAGCTTATTATGACCTCCTGATAGCAGCTGACACCATGGAAGCCTGCAAAGCTGCCACTAGGGTTGTTTAGAACTTTGTGAGACTTGGGGTATCATGTATCAGCAAAGAAGGCTCAACTCAGCCAGGCTGAGGTAACTTACTTGGGGTCCATACTCCAGGGGACAAAAGATGACTGTCAAAAGCAAGGAAAGAGACCATATGAGGATCTCCAGACACAGCTACTGCCGAGAGGTGAGAAAATCTCTGGGGTCTGCTGAGTTATATGGGCTCTGAATCCCTGGGTTTGTTGAATTAGCTTGGACTCTGTATGAGGCCATGAAAGGGAGAAAAACTGGCCTTAATTGGACCCCACAGGTGGAAAACGCCTTCAATAAAATTAAGGCAGCTCTACAGAATGCACCTGCTTTGACATTACCAGATGTCAGCAAACCCTTCCACATGTATGTGGATGAGAAGAAGGGAGTGTCCAAAGTGGTAGTGATGCAAACCCTGGGTCCATGAAAAAGGCACTGGATCCAGGGGCTACTGGTTGGCCTCTTTGCATCTGCATAATTTCAGACACAGCTTTTCTAGTTAAAGACTCAGACAGACGAGTTTTGGGGCAAGCTCTTAAAGTAACCACCCCCATGCTATTGAGGGAGTCCTTAAACATCCTCCTGACAGATGGCTTACTAATGCTTGCACGACTGACTCAATATCAGGCATTGCTCTTTAACCCACCACAGTAGTGCCTTGAATCCTGCCACCCTGCTCCCAGACCCAGACCTGGATCAGCCTCTTCACAATTATCTGGACATCCTGCCCCATCTCCATGGGATCCGACCAGACCTCAAGTACATCCTTTTGTCAAGGGCTGAGGTATCATGGTATACAGATGGCAGTAGTCTCATCAAAGATGGTTACAACTGAGGAAGACGTCATGTGGTTGAAGACCCTATCTCCTGGGACATCAACAGAGGACCAAACTGATAGCTCTAACAAGGGCACTGCAGTTGGGAAAGGGAAAAGACTTAATGTCTGTACCAATAGCTGGTATGTATTTGGCATGGTACTTGTCATCTACAAGGAGATGGGACTGTTGACTGCAGAAGGAAAGGCTATCAAAAACAAACATGAGATTTTAGACATCTTACAGGCCATATGGCTGCTCCACGAGATAGCTATCATACACTGCCCTGGACACCAGAAAGGATAAGACCTAATCTCAAGGGGAAACAACTGGGCAGACATGGCAGCAAAGGAGGCTGACCTCGAGACATCAGTCATCCTGCTGCTCATACCACCAAAGACAGTTAACACCCATGTTGTCAGCATTTCCAGCTTACACTGACCAAGAGCTCCAAAGAATCCACTCATGCACAAACACAAGGAGGAAGGATGGTTCAGGACCCGCGATGAAGGAGGAATCATCCTCCCATCAGATTTTACCACTCAACTAGTTCGACAAATACACCAAAGTATTCATTTGGGAGAAAGGAAAATACAGAATCTCTTGAGAAGAGCATATCTGAAGGTGTTTGACCTTGAGGCCAAAACAAAAGAAGCTGTAGGCCAGTGTCCCACACGTCATCTCATCAATGCTAAAAGTGGACTCACGAGAACTGGGCACGGGAGAGCGGAACTTGGCCTGGCACCAATTAGGAGATTGACTTTGCAGAGGTAAAGCCAGACC